AAATGACCTAAAGAACATTTATCAGGTACCTTACATTGCTTCAAAATTGTAACAGATGCTTTATGTTTCTTATCTCATTGAGTACCCTGTCAGAATAGAGAATAGGTGTATTGTCAGCATTTATTTGAGTTCTAGGTGTCAGACACTTATCTATTGTAGTTGCTTCGGGAAAGGATGTCTAATTTAATTCTGAAAACATTCCGATACATTATATACATATTTGGGGCTCATATTGAGGCTTATGTCGATTGTGCTTTGTCTAAATCATTTAGGTAGTAAGTGATTATGTTGGGATTCAAAACCAACCTCAGGCTTTTTCCGTTACACCAGCGTTCCTGTGAGGACACTGGACAGGGTGGACAGAGTACTGGCTAGTGCACTTAGCAGTGTGACTGACTCTTAGAGTACCCAGGATGCACAGTTGTAAGTGATAGATACCCAACTTATGTTGACCTAAGCAGAAAAGGTCTGGATGGGGACCAGCAGTTAGCGTAATGGCTATGCACTGGACTCCCATGTAGTCGACCGCGGTTCGCGTCCCGGACCCGGTGGCTTAAAACTCACACCAGGCGTGTGTGCATGCATGCCCAAGATCCCGAGAGGAGAACGGAGGAGAAGGGATTGCAGCATGGCCAGCCCCCCTGGGGGGGTGATTTCTCACTTTCTGTCTCTCTGTCTCTCTCTGTCTGGCGAGCGCACGTGCCCTATAGCAAAAACCTCTCCAAAAAGAAAAAAAAAAGAAAAGGTGTGGATGTGTATCTAATTTCAGGTAAGTTGGACCTAGGGCTCTGACAATACCGTTAAGAGATGTTTCTCTCCAGTTCTTAACAATTTTTCTCTGGGATTTTCTCATTTAGGTAGGCTCCCTTGCCTGTGTGGTGTGATGGCTACTATCAGATCTGGGTCTGTGTTCTGCTAGCTCAGTCAGCTGGAAGAGCCAATCTGGAAGTGTTCTGTAAACTATAATATGCTAAAATATGCAAAATAAACATTAATAGCTTGCTTTTTTCTCTTAGTTTTTGTTCGCGTCCCGGACCCGGTGGCTTAAAACTCACACCAGGCGTGTGTGCATGCATGCCCAAGATCCCGAGAGGAGAACGGAGGAGAAGGGATTGCAGCATGGCCAGCCCCCCTGGGGGGGTGATTTCTCACTTTCTGTCTCTCTGTCTCTCTCTGTCTGGCGAGCGCACGTGCCCTATAGCAAAAACCTCTCCAAAAAGAAAAAAAAAAGAAAAGGTGTGGATGTGTATCTAATTTCAGGTAAGTTGGACCTAGGGCTCTGACAATACCGTTAAGAGATGTTTCTCTCCAGTTCTTAACAATTTTTCTCTGGGATTTTCTCATTTAGGTAGGCTCCCTTGCCTGTGTGGTGTGATGGCTACTATCAGATCTGGGTCTGTGTTCTGCTAGCTCAGTCAGCTGGAAGAGCCAATCTGGAAGTGTTCTGTAAACTATAATATGCTAAAATATGCAAAATAAACATTAATAGCTTGCTTTTTTCTCTTAGTTTTTCTTATAGGGCACATGCACTTGCCAGAGAGAGAGAAAGAGAAGGAAAGTGAAAGTCTCCTCCAAGAGGGAATGGGCACTCTGTAATCCCATCTCCTCCCTTCTTAACTCAGGATTTGGGGCATGCATGTACATGGTAAGGTGTGTTTTTCAAACTGTCATGTCTGGGACTCAAACCATGCAGTTGGCCATTTGGGATCCAGCTCCCTTAACCTCCATGCCACCTGCTGGCCCTCACATGCTTTTATTTTTTATTTTTAATTGCCATAGGGCACATGCCCTTATCAGAGAGGGTCGGGGAGAGAGAGAGAGAGGGAGAGAGGGAGAGGAAGAGAGGGAGAGAGAGAGAGAGAGAGGGAGAGCACACCCCACCAGTGGAGCATGGTCACATCACAGTCCCTCTCTTCCATTTCGCTTCCCTGTCAGGATTTCAGCCTGTTAGTTGTTTGCCTCCTACCTTTCTTTATGTGAGTCTTCTAATTGTAGTTTGCCCATGACTCTTTTTAGAAGAGAATTCAAACTTCCTACCGTCCAGGTTTCTTCTTTGTAATCACTTAGTATACTGAGATGAAATAATAGTGACACCTACATTCTGAATCAATCACTCATAAATTATTTTTAATTTAAAGGAAAGATAGTGTTAAGTACACTGTTCGTATCCTAGTTCATTTTGAGAAAGTGTAAAGATTTATGTCTTTATTGAGATTATGTTCCCATTCTTGTTCAGTGGTCTCCTTTGAATCAGTTGTTTCAAGAGGTCTCTAGAAGAAGCATAGCTACATATGGAGAGGGACATTGTTTTATTATTATTATTATTATTATTTATTCATTCAGTGTTTATACATCATTTAGTTTGTAAAGAGATTTTTCCCAACATGATATATGCCACACAGTAGGTGAGTTGAGAATACTGTACAGGACACTACCAACAGGCAGCAAACCATATCTGTACCCACAAATGTCTTACTGGAGAAGGACATTGTTTTAAAGCTGGTCTTTTATTTTATATGTCTGAGGGTTTGTTTAGATTCGTACAAATAGTCTACACGTCCTACTTAGAAACTTTCTCAATGCATCCATTAATCCTATGAGAAACATTAACGTAAAAGTCAGGAATAAGGCCAGGATGCTTACTGGATTTCTAGGGGCTTTTTTTGTTGTTGTTTGTTTGTTTATTTTTAAGAATTATATTCTTTTTTTAAAAATAATTATTTTATTTAACATTGTTATTTTTTAAATTTGTTAGAGGGCATGTGCACTCCCCAGAGAGAGACAGACAGAGAAAGATGGAGGGAGGGAGGGAGGGCAAGAGGGCAAGCG